CCTGCCACCTTAGGTGTATGTGGCTGGCGCCTTAGCCACTTGAGCCACAGGCGCCAAGCCAACATTTTTCTTAAGAATAAATCTAAAATTTTTACTTGGAAGTTATTTCAAAATTTTACAACAGTTTTTTCCCCAGGTATTCATTCTTTATTCCACAAAGTTAGGTATATTTACTGCAATTTTAAAAAAGATCGATCTGGTTGGTTTGAAGAGAGTGTATTTGAAGTTCCTGATTGACGGAGAGGAGGTATAGCCTGAAATAGTTTAATTTTTACAATGAGTTCTGGATTGCCCTTTACTTTTATTATCATAGAATTTTAGGACTTAAAAGGTAGCTTAGTCACTCTCTGGACGGCCTCTTATTAAATGCAGTCATTGTCTTTATCATAACTCTTTAAAAGCACACTTCAGAAGTGGAATGCTAAGAGAGGAATTGAACTCTTATTTAACTATGTAGTTACTTTTAAAATAAAAAGTATTATGGAAACATTAAATCATTAGATAACTTTCATTTCCTTAATAACTTTTTTTACTGGTTTGTACAGTTGAATAATTCAAGTAAGTAACTGATATTAGTAGTTATTATTTTTTTGAGACAGTCTCATTATATTGCCCCTTGGTAAAGTGCTGTCACATCACAGCTCACAGCAACCTCAAACTCTTGGGCTGAAGTGATTCTCTTGCCTCAGCCTCCCAAGTAGCTAGGACTACAGGTGCCCACCCCAATGCCCAGCTATTTTTTTGTTGTAGTTGTCATTGTTGTTTAGCAGGCCCCGGTTGGATTCAAACCCATCAGGCTTGGTGTATATGCCTGGCGCCCTAACCACTGAGCTACGGGCACTGAGCCAGTAGCTATTATTTTTTTGAGATAAAGTCTTACTCTATTGCCCCAGACTAGAGTGACCTGTTGTCAGCCTAGCTCAAAGCAACCTTAAACTCTTGGGTTCAAGGGATCCTCTTTCCTCTGCCTCTGGAGTAGCTGGAAGTACAGGTATTAGCCACAATGCCTGGCTTATTTTTCTCTTTTTGGTAGAAAAGGGGTCTTGATCTTGCTCAGGCTGGTCTCGAACTCCTGACCGTAGGCACTCCTCCAGCCTCTGCCTCCCAGAGTGGGTCACTGTATCCCACCCATTATACACTAAGAATATTTCAGTTTACTTATAGGTATAAGATAATGGAAAGATAATCTGAAATGTGGATATGAATTGACTCAGAAAAGGTTATGTGATGATGCAAAAACTCCATAACCACCTTGAGTTCTTGTTTCCTTATCTCTGAATTGGGGGAAGTAGTGTTTCCCACTTTTCCAAACAGTTATAATAATGATTAAGTGGAATAATGAAAGAGAAAATACTTTCTAAACTTTGAAATGTTATGTACACAGTCTCATAATTAAGTTCGAGATCTCATGCTAGAAAAAATGGTACCTACCTCACTGCTGAATATCACTACAGTTACTTTTGAAGTATTCCCCTTGGGGCTTGGCGCCTATAGCTCAACCGGCTAAGGCGCCAGCCACGTACACCTAAGGTGGCGGGTTCGAATCCCCAGCCCGGACCCGCCAAA